TTGAAATAGTGCAAAATACTGCCGGGATTGCAAACCAACTTCCTACGAGTAGAATTCCAATCGGTGCTCGGTGCCTCACAATACTTTGCGCAAAATGTGGGCGTATTGCCCAACTGAGCAATCTTTTGAATAAACTTGAAAGTTCTTAGCCACATTGTTACACAATTTGACATTCATCATTGCATCATTATTATATTATTATTATTATTATTATTATATTATTGTCATTTTAAAATTCCTCGATTTCACAATCATTTGACATATTACCATATTCATTGTAATGAAAGTGGTTAGGGTATGTCTGCTCTCGACATCTAAATGTTATTATGAAAATTACACGCACGTACGTTAACGCCGTAACCTAGGTTAGTGTGATGATACAGACAGCAAGTCGTTATTATGTGTGGTAGCGAGTGAGAGATATGTCCGCTGTTCAGTAAGTTTCTCACCTTACCAAAAGTTACATCGATCCAGGAAGAAAAACTTAGAGCGGATCCATCTTAGAAGAGTTACGGGAATGAATTTTATATCAATTGAATAATATGCGTGTGCGTCAGGTGATGACTATATTACGTTGGCTTACCTGTGCACATTCCTTACCTAGTGCGCAAGAACGAAAGAGCCGTGCTTGTCTCGTGCAAGGTTAAGATAGTAAACATACTAGTTAGAAGTAGAGTGCTGATCACCAAACGCATTGTTCCATAAAGCAACAAATCATAATTCACGGAGAAAAAATAGTTAACAAGGAAGATCATATGATGGATTTCAGTCAGTCTTTAATCAAAGTATGCGAGAGGAGGTGAAACAATGGCAAACAAAGACGTCTCAAGCATCTTTGAAAACGAACACTGAGAGAGCTAACGATGTTTTTCGACTAATTTGTCCGGCAGCAGTTTCCGAGAATTGAACTCTGTGGTGCGAAAGCGGTGCAGGCGCCGCAGAGGGGTCCCGATCGCCGCGCCACGCCGCGCTGGAGAGCGCGCGGATCGAAAGATTAGGCAGACGCCGCTTGACGTCACAAGCAAACAGAGCACGCTGCCGCCCGGGGCGAGCGACGCTGGCGATTGCCGGCGCGCGCCCCTCGCCCCTCGCCGCTCCCCGCGCGCGGGGCGTTATTATATAGTTTGCTGGGCTGCGGCTGCCTCCTCGGCGCGCGCCCCCCTCGCGCCCGCGCAGCCCGTTTGGGACCTCGCCCCTCCCGTCCCCCTCCCGCCCACCCTCTGCCGCAGGCCCTCGCGCTCGCTCGCGGCGCGCCAGATCGCACACAGAGAGATATGCGTTGGACACTCAAAGGAGTTGAGATGAGTAACGGCACAACAGTAATGAATAAAATGTGATTGGTTTCTTTTCCGTCTTTTGAGACGCGAAACTACGTAGAGATGATAGCGCCCGACAGGAGCTGTATGTCCTTTCCAATTATCGTGGCTGTGACTACCAGCCTCCATGGTGGAGCGAGTTATACTTAGTTTTAATCCCCAGACCTCACGCTTAGATTTTCCTTTGGCTCCGTCTCGGTCTATTTTAATTACCCGATGATCCCAAGCGGCACATTTTCGGTAAATGCGGATTAGAGACCAGATCCTTCAACAGTTGCATCTCACAGTACTCCTTGGGCCCATAATTAGCAATCTCACTTTACATAGCAGTGTAAGTACTTAGATTTGGAAGAAACCAGGGTTTAGAAGGTGACACATGAAACGGCAATTCTCCAATGCCACAAATCCAACTGCCACGAATATCCAAGCCGGATGAGTCGATGGGATTACCATCCATATATTTATACGATCGAACCCACAGCCCTGCTCTCCGCGAAATTACCACATCTGCCCGCATCGGCTCTGGGAGCCTCCGGGCTGACAAACGATGTTTCGCGTTGAAAAGATAATGAGATGAATAATCAACTACAATTGTTAACAATGTTTTATTTAATAAACTAAGACAACGAAAAAACTACTTTCGTGAATTTTAATCCGTATTCACTGTACGACACACTAACACCACGAAGCGTGAGGCGACAACATCTTGTAATGATTCAACATTGCCTTCCGACTTGACGAGCGTCTTTGCTTATTATTTACAAACAATAGTGCTAAGATACTAGAGTGAAATTAATTTTCGTTGTGGCAGGTAAGGTGTTCTCTATTAATTTGATTATTTCGTTTTATTCCTTTAGCGCATTGCGTTTCGCTCACGGGCGTGTTACACAAATAGTAACGCAACACGGGAGCGAGGTGATTCTCCGCTTCGGTCTCGTTGTTCGTCCCCACTACGCTCGCAGCTCCAGCAAACTCGACATGCGTGCGTGAAGTCCCCCTGTTCGCGCCGTGTACGTAAACTGACTAAATTTTAAAATTGAGTTTTGATGTAATACGCAGCATAATGCAGCGCCTAAATGAGCAACGACGTGAGTAATGGCGTGGGGGGGCCGGGAGTGGGAGAGCGAGAGCGGCGGCAGAGAGATGGCCGGCGTGTTGATGTAAGATGAAATTCCGTCCTTTGCCTCCAAAGAAGGCATTGCATTCACTCCCGCCATGGTCTAATAGACGATAGGTGATAGCGTACTAAATGTCCAGAATGCCAACGCCAGACGTCTTCGAGACGGAATTTTCCTCACATGACCAGTTGAGAAATACTCCCGCTATAGTACGATAGTCGGCGCCGGATCTTGCCGTCCTGCGGGGCTTATCACCACCACCTGATATGACCTGTACCGTTCACGCGTCGCGGATCACTACGAATCGAGCAAGATCATTCTCATCGGAATGGGGGTGAGACGGCCTTCACCGTTCGGTATGCGCAACCAGGAAGTGCCGCTCTTTCTCGATCTAGGGCGCAGAACAGCGACCTCGCGGCGGCGCCCGCCGGCCGCGCCGGCGCGCCAGGTCACGCGCCTAATTGCAACCCGCGCGCGCGCCGCCGCCGCAGCGAGCAGCGGTAGCCGGCCACACGCCGCCGCGCCAGACCGTTTCGCTAATACGCCCTAATTAGTGCTTCATTGTACGCCGCTGTCCTGGGTTCGAGGCGGGGTCGAGCGCTCAGCGCGCGGACGTGATCCGATCCGAGTCGCTGTGGAAATAGATGTGAGCGTGATAGGGGGGCGACGGGGGGTGGCGATGGGGCGGCGAGGGCGCACAAGCGCGCGGCCGAGGGGCAGGACGAACGAGGAGAGAAGGGGGAAGTGGGAAAGATTCGCAATTCGAAACGTTTTGATTAAATTTTTTGTAATACATTTCATTTTTACTTTTCGTGTATCGTGTTGCCATCAATTCAAATTCTCTTTTTGTTCTCACTCTATAACCTTCCATCGCACTTACACAGTACAGATATTCTACTATTTTACACTCAAGGTTATGAGGTTTTGTTATTATTAATTATTATTATTATTATTATGTATTATTATTATTAGTATTCATATATATTATTATTATTCATTATTGATGTATTATTAATTATATTCATTTATTATCATCGAGTCATCACTAGCGCTGAAATAAAACTTTTTCTGTAATTATAGTGTTCATCATACGCGAACCAGTAATTGTTACAATGAAAATCGGGCATATTTGTGGGTATAACTATGAGCTATAAAATATGAAGGAGGGTGTAAAAAAAAAAAAAAATTGTCCTTTTGAGATTAGTTATTAGTATGTTAAATATCTGAATTGTTAATAGATAGTTTTAGTTGCAATTTATTAATTTTATGTTCGGATTACATTTAAAATTACCAATGTCTTTGGAACGGTAAAAACAATACAGAATATACGCTGAGGGAAAATTTCAATACAGTAACATACGTTTTTCCTATTTTCCTATTAATATATGAAGAAAACAATCTGCGTAGCAGCTCGGGCCTGTCATTAAAACACTACAGAGGAATATAGATGGATCTGCATTTAATTTTCGTTTTTCTTGTCTAGCCATTAGGAATTGTTTTTCTTAATTGACGTCAAGCCGATACATCATAAATATTTGAATTGATAATTGTGTCGAAACCACCTCGTAACGCTTCGGACCAAAATAATGATAGCATGAACGATAAAATGTGATTTTCATTAACGAGGTAAAAATTTGGAAAATTTTCATAATTAGTCACAGAATGTACGTAACATAGAACCCAATTATTCAGCTTGTGCAAGAAGTAATCGGTAGAACAGTTAAATCAGGAGATATATTTCTAGCTTTTCGCGAGGAAAAATGATCAATATTACACTCGACAAAACAGAAGAAGTAGAAACGACATTGTTATTTTGCCGGGTTTCCTTCAGTCGCTGTGAAGGACAGATCAGCGAGGCGAGTTTCTAAGTTCTTCTCCGCCCCGCCGCTTCCAACGCCGCCTCCGCCGCCCACCCGCCCGCCCCGCTCGCTCCCGACGGCGGCACATGTTCAGCAAATGAGAAATCGCATGGCCAGGGCGGCAGGGGAGGAGGGGGAGCGCGTTCGCGTCGGTTGCGCTCCTTCCGGGGCGGCGCAGGGCTGAGGCCGGGGGCTGAGGCGGGCCGGCGCCCGCGGCCGGGGGCCGCTCGGGCCGCTGCGGAGTAGTAGCATCTTTTCGTCAAATAAGCACTCGGCGGATTAAAACCGTGGGCCCGCGCCGTCCCTCGCGGCGGGACATGTGCCGCGGATACAGGCAACGGCGACCCCAGCCAGCCTAGGCCGCTACGCTATTACAGCGGCCCGCCCCCCCCCGCGCCGCCCGCCCCGCCACGAAGCAAACAACAAACAACACACAGCCAAACACAGATACACACACTGGCGGCCGCCAGAGGAGCAGCCCAGCAGCGCCGCGCGCCCCCGCCCGCCGCCCGCCTTAATGACAGTAAGATTGGAGTGCACCCGGAGAAGTGACGCGCGCAGGCGGCGGAGCGGAAGCGGCAGGCTCGCGGGATAAATGAAAGCGCACTGCAGCGATGGAAGGCGGTGCAGGGTAGGCCGGGGTAAGCCGCGTGAAGGCCAGGCGGAGAGGCGCAGGTGGCCCCGGAGGCGGCGGACGGCGGAACGGAATGGCGGGGGCGGCGGAGCAGCCTGGAGGCGTTGTTAGCTTCCGCCGCCGAGGGGCATACTCGCGACTCAATGTCTCGTTCCAGCGCAAGGGATTGAAGGTGAGCGGGGGGTTGCGAAGACTATCGGGAGAGATGAAGATTGCAGGTGGGAAAACGGGGGCAAGGCGGACTTACACGAAATTGTAAACCTTCTGACGCTGCAGGAAAGAAAAGTCGGGCATCTCACCCCGTAAATCATATCTCTACCCGGTTACAATAATCTAAAATAATTCAAACCCCAAAAGAAATTATTTGTTGAAGTCACAAAATTAAAAATTTTTTGGAATATTAAGTGACTGGACACAATGGATTCTATATCCCAAACATTACAATACATTTTGAGTACGATTATGTATGTATTCTCAGAAGAACAAATTTCTGAGATATGCTCTCATAGTCGTTCCAGAGATAATATTCATCTCATTAACACACTTTAATTTTTATCTTTAAAGCAATTATCATCATGTAATTTTAATTTTTATAATATGCATTGTCACTGGTTCCTGCCAACATATTCACTTTTCCCATATGCGTGACAGTCTACCAAGACTTTTGGTTTTCATCTCAGGAAGTGAATGCATTGAATGTCGGTCTTAGCCATTGGCAGTCACTAAATGAATGCGGCAGTCCGGAGAACGGACAGGCGGTTGCTGAGCAGGATTGGAGTTTGCACATGTACATGACATAATAGGTCGATTTTAATGAAATAATTTTTTTCTTTTAACTTGAAGCAATACCTTTTAGGTATAGACATTCATGTTGATGTTATTACAAAAAGTTTAACATGACCCATGTTTAAATGGATTTTAAACCTTTCTGACTGGACTAATAAGTCGGTGGTGCGTTCTATTATTTTCGAAATTGGTAAAGCATTTTTCAATATTTTCACCGATGGTACAGAGCTTCAAATATAATTTTAAAAAGATGCAGCACGAAAGTATTCTTCACAGAATTAGGTGGGAGAGGAGCCTATTTAGATGGTCCTAACGCGTCAAAAAATATCGAAGAGCGCGTTTTTCAACGAACGTCATGAGCATTGAAAGTATAATCAATATGCGAGGCAACACATTTAGATGAATTCTTTACTGAAACGAAATACTTAGTAAAACAACCCGATCGTTTCGATCATTTTAAATTTAGCCACGATATTGAATTAAAAATATCGTAGAGGTATTAAGAGATGTTAAACGAAAATGTTAAACTTTAAAAGATGAATTATTACAATATTAATTTAACATGAGTCTAATTTGTATACGAGCACTGTCTCTGGAATCCTCAATTCAAAGTTAAAAATGTAGTGAATGGAGAAGACTGGTTAACGAGGGTTTAAATACATCACTTCTGTTGGGTGAGGTAATGGGATTATAGGAGGGGTCTATAGTGAAATCTAAATTGTACTCTAGAAAGAGCATTTTTTCTAGAAATAAATTACTTGTCTCTGAAGAAAATGAATGGAGTTTGTAGAATTTATTTGAGAGTTAAGAAATGAATTGGCATATTGTGCCAAAACCAAATTTTTGGGTAATTGATTGTTGGCGACAAATCACGTTGCTTTTGCTGCAATCCCAAGGATTTTGTTCAGGAATGTTTACAGCGCTTTAATTATGGTAGGATAAGAATCTCTTCATATGGAGCGTGCTCTGATTAAAATGAGAGAAGAGCAATTTGATATAAAAGAAACGTATGATGAGCATTGACAGCGGTTTTCGTGGTTATTAGCGAGTATAATGTGGTACCTGTTGTCTAGTTTTAAGTAGTAAGGTGATTGGATTGTTTGGGCTGATAGGATTATTTGGAATATTTGTTGGGAACGCAGATAATTATGATTTTTTTTTCGAAATTGAGTTATATGACATGTGTATCCTGTAATAAGGTTATAAGGAAGAAGGTAATTTTGAGTATATTTTGTGGTTAGTATGTACAAAAACGAGCGTCAATCCAGAAGCACGACAGGACTTTTATGAAGGTAAAGAGTTGGAATAGGTAACTTGTTTGGGTATCGGTATTTTCAAATAAACGTAAAGAAATGTGCATTTGGAGGTTACAACAACAAATAACTGCAATAAATAAACAAAATAATTATATAAAATCGTTTAAGCTACTGTGTGATAAGGTATAATGCAACAAACATGACGGGCTTTGACGACGAAATAAAGGGGTTCTTGTTGATCAGCTCTATTTATGTCCCCCATAAAACATTGTATGAATGCAGAAGTTTTGGCTGTGGCACGCTAGCAATTTTCTTTTGCTCTCTGGAAAATTTTACTACAGAACGCAAACGATGAACTGCGGCAAAGTTGGTGGCTACAGTAACAAAACTGTTGTCATTCTAACAGAATGAAAATTCCTGATGCTGAGTCGGAACATACTTCAAACGATCCCCTCTTATCTTTTGTAATATAATCTAGAGATGAAGAGCACAATGCTTAACTCTGTTATCATTTATTATTCCAGTTTCTTCCTTTCTCCTTCCCTCTTCTTTTGGTCATGTAGTAGTTCAACACTGGTAAACAGGTTATTAAAAAAATCGATATGGAACTAGTAGAAGTAACTGGTTCACAAACGTCATTACCACGCCGTAGTACCTACTAAGACAATCATCTGTTTGCCCTCCTTATAGTAACTAAAACCCCTGAATAATAAACCAATGATAAATTAAACGAAGTGGAACTCCAGCAATCCACAATGACGTAACAAAGGAAACAATGAAAGTTTTGTACTAGTGATGCGACATCGATAACAAAACATCGATGTTACCAAACATCGATGTTTTAGACTGTATTAGTAACCTCTAACATTAAATTCGTGAGCATGAAAATTGGACCGTGATCGTGTTTATCTATCAGCCGAATAAGGGTATGAGAAGAGACAAACCCTACGCCCACGGCGTATTTGTTGACCATATCTCAATTTGCGAAATGAATATGAAGAAAGAGGAAATATAAGCGCATGGAGGTCATCTCAGGCGAGAGAGTTTGGTCAACAGCGATAGTACAAGTAGAGCGTCTTTTTGGTTCCAGCACATGAACAGTGTTTACACTCAGTTATTAATTATATTTTATCCGTATTGTGATCATGGGGACAAAACACCAGAAAATGTTGCATGTTAAAAACCTGTATTAATTCATCGATGTTGAAACATTGATGTGTAACAAAAATATCGATGTTTTGAAAGCATCGACATCGATGTTGCATCCCTGATTTATACTTCAATATAGTGTGCCATCGAATCTAATGCGCACGACGATTTTGAGTACTACTTTTGATAAAAAAAGGTGCACATTATATTCGCACAAATACGGTAATGTGTATGACGTTTGATTGAATGGAATTCCAGAGTTCGTGTGCCCTCCACGTGTAAAACGTGCTGTCGGGTTAGAGTGATGATAACGCAGTGGCGGGCGTGGAGCAACCGGTCTGATGGGGCGCGTGTGTGTGTTGTGTTGCAGCGGAGCGCAAGACGTCGCTGGGCAAGGACTGGCACAGCGCGTGTCTGCGCTGCGAGAAGTGCAACAAGACGCTGACGCCCGGCAGCCACGCGGAGCACGAGGGCAAGCCCTACTGCCACAACCCCTGCTACTCCGCGCTCTACGGCCCCGGCGGTACGTATGCCTTTTGGCGGCCGAGGATTTGATTGTTTATTCAGCGTTTCTTCAATAATAGAGTCAATAAACCTCTCAAACTTCGGTCCATATCACAAAATTCATGACACAAACCCTAAAGAAATAAAACAAATCATTAACGATCTCCCGATAAAAAAAGGAACCATCAATAATTCCGTACTAAAACACTTACCAGTCCCCCCAATTGCATACGTAACAAATATATACATTTATGCTTCAGAACAAATCATTTTCCATCCACTTGGAAGAATGTCATCATTCTTCCGGTTCCGAAACCAAATAAAAATTCAGCCAACAGCGACTACTATCGCCCGATAACCCTTCTACCATCTTTGTCTAAAATTTTCGAAAAAAATAATACTCCAACGACTTAAGAAGCAGGTACAAATAAAAAAAATGCAATCGCAAGAGAGCAGTTTGGATTCACTGATCATATGTCCACACAACATCAACTCCTCAGAATCACAGAACATCTCAACACAGCATTTCAGAAAAAAATCATACAATACTCATTTCGTATCACTCGACATAACACAGGCATTTGATAGAGTCTGGCACCAGGCATTAACGAAAATAGGCACTCCACACTACATCACCTCATTAATTGAAAACTATTTATCCAACAGAACTTTTGCAGTAACAATCAACAACTACCAATCAAAACCCAGGTTAATCAAAACAGGATGACCACACGTATTCCCCCAATCACCCACACTGTTTAATCTCTATGTGGGAGACATCCTCATATCGGAAGCAGTAAAAACAGCACATTTTGCAGATGATTCACTTATCGTCTCTTCCAGCCACTCTCTAATCAATATTAAAAACCACATACAATTGTATCTAAACCAAATAGACAGTTGGTCATCCAAATTAAAAAAATAATTTAATCCCAAACAAAACTACAGCTAAAATATTCTCTTTAAGACCATACACTTCACCAACCCCACTAACGTTAAATAATGAACCCATCCCATTGTACCCAACAAATAAACCCACACAATATCTTGGACTGCACGTGGACACCAAAATAAACTGGAAACAGCACATAAACCTCAAAATAATACAAACTAAAAACAAACTGCATCAATTAAAAACTCTAATAAACAGAAATAATTACCTCCCATACAAAACATAAATACCTCCCATACATACATAACTTTATTGAAAACAATAATCAGACCTACTCTTTTCTACACCTGCCCAGTATAGATCAATGCTGCAAAAACAAACATCAACAAAAGATCAGCGACATGGCTGACCGCATACCCAAGGACAGTAGTGGGGAGATTCTGGATTCTGGAGATTCTCTTTTTAGGATCAAACTTTGTACTCCACGAAGCAAACGCCTTTTGCCTTTAGCCCATGCCTTTTGGCTACAACAAACATCAACAAAATTCGAATAGTACAGAATCAATTCCTCCGTACAATCACAAATGCATCCTCGTTCATATCTAATCATCAATTACATAATGAATTCAACCTCGATCCCATCATGCACCACAATTTCTTCTCTAATATACACCATATCCAAACCTTATCTTCATTCAAACTTTGCAAAAAAACCCATCCATTCCACTCGCATAAAAAATAAATATCCATTCCACATATTTTGTAAATTGTTCTCAGATCTGGAATAGTTTCTATGAGGTGCCATTACGGTTTCCTCAACCTCTGTTGTAGTGTTAATTTAGGATCGTGAATAAATATGTAAAGTTATCAAAAACTGAACTATGTACAAAACAATAAAATAAATAAATAAATAACTAGTCTTTGTGTCAATGGACTGTATGCGATGAGAGCGGCTCGACGCACTCCACAAAGCTCCGGCGCTTTGCGACGAGGGAGGATTTGTTTGATTGGTTGTTTAATGATTCTGGGCACGGCGACTACTACGGCCTGCGGCTCGCAATTGGAAAAAATGACATTAAATGACATAAAACTACAATATTCATTACATAAATTCTTTACATTAATAAATGAGGTTTTTAAAAACTATATCTTGAAATAATTTAAATTAAAATATCTGAATTTTTGAAAATTGCAAATGCGAAAGTTCACCTATTGTTAGTGTGGGGAAGGCAGAGCTTAACTGTGAAGTCGGTGGTGTTGGGGTAATGTGTCTGATAACGTCTTGAGTTCGCTCTCCAGCACGTAGAAAAAATGTGTCTGATTGATTGTTATCTGAACACTGCTTACTGAATTACCATAAAATAAGTCGTTGTTACCCAACGGTATTTTTTTTTCAAAATATAAACATAAAAAAATATTTATAAAAAATTACTTTAGAAAAGAGTCGAATGGAAAAAGCAACAATGACTAGAACGATATAAAAGAAAAGGCAAAGATAAAAAGAAACAGACTTTAAAATGCAGTAGTGAGGTACATCTATCCTCCACCATTCTTGAATAGTCTATGGTTCACAATCTAGAGTTCGAGAATGAGGAAAATTACATTGAAGATCGTTTTAAGTATCTTGACATTCCATAGTTAATTTTGAAAATCATTGTGTTGTTATTGTAGGAATATCTTATCAAGTTCAGTTTTGTTTAGTTCACTCAACTTGGCATACTTAGTCACGTGTGGATATATGTATGGAAGAGTGTTTAATACCATTGGCAAGTACTTTCTTTCATAAATAAATCTTTGAAACACCGATGAATATAGACGGGATATTTTAATATTATATTTTCCCCTCACAAGCGAAATCGGAACATTAGCATATCATCTTAGAGTAAACTATCAAAACTCAAACATCTCTCTACCATTATCATTCTTGTTTTACTTACATTAATCATTTAACATGACAGAAGTTCAATGTTGTCAAAAGAAAAATATCCTGGACCCACCTGTGCCCTGATTCCGAACTTTAGTTTGTTTTGGCTTCCTAAAATCGTGCCTGTTATTTGCTTATGTTTAATCAACTATCAACTGCCGCCTAGAAAATACAATTTAATATTATAGGAAGCATCGAAAATACATCTGATATTAAAAGCTAATTAAACGATCTAAGAAAAAAAACCGTGCCAGTCCATATTTTACAAACTTCATGGCCGTACAAATCAAAATAGGTTACATACGTTCTAATGAGCTGACGTAAATGAAAACTCAAAACCGTCAGGAAAAATGAGTTACCCTACCCAAAATTTAAAACTAATTGTAGGCTCCAAAAATTATTGTGGCCTTTATATTCGAGGCATCCGCTGAGTGGGCTGGCGCGAGGGTGCGTGTGGAGCGAGAGGGAGCGGGGAACCGAATGAGCAGGCAAAGCCGCAGCGTGGCGCGGATCATGTGCGCGCGCCCGTTAATTGCATTCGGCCAGATCGTCTTCTTGCGCGGGGCGCGGGCGGCGGGGGGGGGGGGGGCGATAGGCGGCAGGCGGTGAATTATTCACGCGCGGATGACGGCTCCGCCCCGCCGCTCGCGCGCAAATTGGTTCCGGGGGCCAAGGCAGTGCTGGAGGTGGCAATAGTGGCACTGTTCTGGCAGGGAATTCTGTAGTGGAAGTGGCAGAGAGGTTGGATTTGATTGATTGATTAGCGATTCCGGGCGCGCCAAATGATAACCTCATTAGTCACGTATGTATAGTGCATGTTTTATCGCTGGAGGTGGCTGTGGTCTTCCTTAGCTGGATGGTAAGATCCAGCGCCGACCTACACTTCTGATTGCGGGTTTTCCCCAACCAGGCGTCTCCCACCTACGGACAAGTTCTAAGCTCCCGACTTCTCTCCCGGCATGTGTGGTGCATATAAGGGTGTAGTACATGTAAGTGTTTATGTGTATGTATAGGCGTAGGACCAGGAACAGGAAGGAAGGACCGTGTGATGTCCGTTTGTTAGGGTACTGCTTCGGCCTTCGCTTGGTGTTGATCGGAGAAACCACGGAAAACTAACAATCAGAGCAGCAGGACGCTAGAATCCTCTTCCAGACAGCTACTAAATTCGACCCAGTTGACAAGCTAGTGTCGAACATTTTGCCACCGTCGGGATTCGAACCCTAGGACCTCCCGATGAGAGGCACTGCAGTGACATCAGTTGATGCCCTGAACGACCTTTGACGCTGCAGAGGGGAAGACGGTGTCAGTGGCGAGGGTGGAAACGTTGGCGGAGCTCAAGGAGGTGGTAGAGGTGGCGATGGTCGAGGCTATACTGGCTGTGACGATGTGGGAGGTTAGGACCTCAAGCTATGAAGCATATCACAGGAAAAATATTTTCGACCTATCAATGAATGTATCTTCTATTTGTTCAATGTTGTCTTCGATATGATTCGCTCCTAATATTTTAATATGAAATTAACCTGATAGTACTTTTTTAATTGCCAAATTAACGAGCCAGATCTAAAACATTAAAAATCCTGGCTTTGTGTTCGTTGGACCGAATTAGATTGCTAGAAAAGGGAAAATTTCCTTTTCATTATTATTATTATTATTATTATTATTATTATTATTATTATTATTATTATTACAATATTCTTAATATTATTATCTTAAGATGCCAAACGATTTTATTAAAGCAATTGTATGAATTAAAGACATAGATCTTTCGAAAGGTTAAGGTTCTTAGCGTTAAATCTTTTACGTTCACTCAATCACGCAGGAAAATAGCCTATAATAGTTACACATTCTCTCTCTTCTCAAGTTTACACGAGATACTATCTATATTCCTGATCGAACAGACAAGGGATCGCATTCTATGGTTATTATCACACCATATCAAAAAATTACACTGAACCATTATACTGTTTAAATCGAAAACAAATAAAACATCTCAAAAATCGATAATTTTTTAGTTCGGTGATAAAATGTCAGAAAATAGTATACTCTGTTACAACTAAAATTTTCATAACGCTAGTTCTTAGTTTAGAGCAATCACTTTGGCTTTAGTCCCGAAATAAACGACTTACCATACATCATATTAAAACCGTCCTTCTGCAAAATGAGTATGTTTGAGATGTGACACTTTTCCTGTGCCCAGACGACAGCGATTCAGTGACAGTGTTGAATTTCATGACAGTGTTGAAGTTGATGATGGTGTTGAATTAAATGATGATAGTGTTGACGTTATTACGACAATGTTGAATTTAGGGATGATGACAGTATTGAAGTGGATGATGCCGGTGTTGAATTTCTGTTGCTTGTCTGTTCCAGGTTTCGGTCGCGGAGGCGCCGAGAGTTACGTGTACAAAAAGTAGAGCACCAGCAGATCGCTCTTTCACCTTGCACCGTCGCTCACTCTGCACCCTTAGCAGCGAACGCAGCGGCTACTTCCACTTGTCTAACACATTCCCACTTCCCGCATTCCTGTATACCAACTAATGTTTAACATGATTATTTAAGTACATGTATTTTCTAATTTTAAAATAAAAGACTATGTATATTTACCAGATTACTTGCAGTTACTGGTATGACCTATGCAATGACCTCTGTTGATTGATCTAAAATATTTTTCAATCCTCAAGGAAACTCACAGAAGAAACAATCTCGTCAAGAACTTACGTTCCGCTTTCAAGCCTCACCTTATGACGGAACAAAAAAAATTATACACATATACATTGGACATTTTTAATTATTAAAAAGTGTAAAAAATTACACCTCATAAATAATCGCAATGTCTTTAGCAGCTGAAACGTTTAAGTGACTTCTTAAAAGTTTGATTACAAAATTAAAGTTATAAATAGTGAAAAGAGTTTCTGCGTTTCAGCTATTGACTTATATTTTGCTATACTTTTATGACAGAGAAAAAAAAAGTAAGTCAATGCTAATGTGTCCACATTATATCATTTTAGCGAGATAACGATGATTTTCATGGTCTTCGCACACAAGGATTAACAAAAGAAACCGCACACTACTTCGACACACACACACAGACACACACACAACACACACACCTATATATATATATATATATATATATTAATATATAATATAATATATATATATATATATAATATATATATATCAATTAAGTTTATTGAGATGAGCAAACATTTTCCTTCTTTGGAATGTTATTGTTACGGATTGAATATGAAGGCATATATTATCAATATTTTTAAATATTTTACGTCCCATAATTATATACCACTATGATATAGTGTGAAAAAACGACTTTTAATGTTTACCACAAACTATTTCCAGAAATGTCGAAGAATATATGTAACTTTTAACAATAAAATCAGCATTGAACACACTTAAAAGTACTATAGTAACATAATTCTGAGGAATATGTAAACAGAAGGATATCAGTTCATGATTTTGCTACAATTTAGGTTTCTGAATAGATAATTAACCCGAAAAATAGCATATTTACTCCAATATTATACGTGAGATTTTGAGATTGTCTTATATTCAAAACTTTTAGATTTGGGCTTTGGCAATTAGTTCTTCGTATGATTTAGATATAGTCCATTCCTATATGAGATACACTTTCCCTTCCTAGGGACATTCTCACAGAAAATTTCTCGTTGACCAGCTTCCGTTTCTACCTTCCACACCAAACATATCTCGCGACATTTTTCGTTTCGGCAGAATACTTTTCCCCCAAAGCAAACAACTGAAAATAAACACAGTCCATACATACGGAGACAACCTCCCCCCCCCCAAGCCCACTCCCGCGCAACGAACCAGGGAGCGCCGTCTTTGGCGGTTGAAGACGAGGAGCCGCTCTATTTGCCAGCGAGCGAGCCACCGCCGCCGCCGCCGCCGGGGGCCTCAAGAAAAGTTCCTGCTGGGGGGTGGCGGCGGCGACTCGCCTGCTCTTTTAATCCGCCACGCCGCACCGCGCCGCGCCGCGCCGCGCCGCGCCGGGCCGGGCTGCTCCGCGCCCAACTCAAACAAGAGCGCGTGTTGATTCTGCGAGTTAAGAGGAGTCCCGGTCCACAAGACGCCGAACGAACGCGAGGCGGGTGGACCGAAGGCCCGTACAAGTTAATTTTTCGCGAATACATCTTTTACATTCTGTTTGTCGGTTTTTTCAACCCCCGCCCCCTCTCCTTCCCTTTCGTTCTGCTACCGCCGCGCCCCGTCGCAGCGCGTCTAATCGCCGGGAAAATTAAAGCGGAGCGGAGGCGGGAGCTCCGCCCCCGGTCCCACCCCTACCGCCGCCCTCGCCGCCGCCGGCCCGCGCAGACAAGATTCCGCTAATTAACGACGAATAATTTATTCGCGTCGCTGACTCGCAGCGAACACTCCAGGAAAGGGAGCGCGAGCGCGGCGCACAACGGAGCGAGCGGCGTGGGGCGTGGAGGGAGAGGCGGCCACGACGGCCGAGGCGAGGAGCAGCGCCTGGCGCAGGCAACCCGCCGCGCGCTCGCGCTGTACGGGCGGCCGGCTTTCAGG